CCAAAAAAAAAAAAAAAATCAAAAAAATCCCACCCATTTTCTTTCACAGACACAAGAACGTCTTCGACAGACTACACAGGAAGCGTTCAGAGTCAGCATAGATTCCACCCTGAACTTCACGGTCTTCCGGGAGTCTGGTCTCAAGGTGGACCGGAAGTTGGGTTTCTGGTACTTCTACGTCCTGGGACATATCACTAGGCCTCAGCTGATCGAGGTATGGTGCGCAAAATTAAATGTGCGAGAGTATTCACATTTGTAAACGGAACGTATATGAGTCAAAGAGGTTATAAATAGAACTAGAGGTCGTAGCTGTGACGTCACGAATGTCAAACTGGAGGGGGTGCGACGCCATTCTGGAGAGGAATAAAAGGCCAGTCGGTGCACATCAACACTTTTCAGACACGGATTGGTGATACTCTGCAAAGTCTTTTGATATTGATTTCTTTTTTATATGATTTGCTTGTCGCTAAAATGTACTCATGAGCATTTAATGATTGTTTACCTTTAAATGATCCAGATAATCTCCAAATAATACAAATAGGGTTTTTTACACAATGAGACCACAAGGGTGTGTAAAATTCAGAAAAAATGAATGAGATGGACTTGATGACCCCTTGTAAAAATAAAAAACCAACATAATTTTAGTTAAATCTTTTGCTGTGCGTCGCTCAAACAGTCAAACGGTGACCACAACAAGGCGCTCGTATCGGCCCTCAGGAATCAAACACCATTGCCAATCAACGCCAATTTTAGAAAATATTGTGAACGTTTAAGATAAACCGGCTATTTCTCTAAGTGCTGCATTTAAAAAATAATTTGTCAGTATACAATTATTTGTGTCCGATATCAAACAACACTCTTTAGGTGTGCGCACAGGATCCATCTAATGGGTGATTTACAGTATCCCAGCCTACAATTAATTACTCATTTTGAGACAATAACGAATCAATATATTAAATAATCAACCCAGTCTTAACCCTTTTCCTACTCTTTGAAGACCTAGGCTTTGCATCTGTAGAAGGAGAGTGTAGACAACATGACATAAAAGCAATCCATTTTGTAAGTATGAAATTGTCATTTTTCTTAACAAACTCAATTACTCCCTTTCTCTCCATCCACCCCTCCCCCACCCCTCCCGGGAAAAACAAACACCTCATATTGTATCTCTCTGCTCCTTTCATTACAGTTATCTTCCAACCGCTGTCCCTGACAGCCCAGGAAAAGGGACATTCCATGGCCATATCATTAAGTGCATTTAAGTTTCCAACAGTCAATCAGCGGGTGCGGTATTGTGTATGTGTGTATGTTATATGATAAAACAACAACATCAAACAAAAAGAACACTTGAAATAAATCTGAACTGAACTTCAAACTCTATGAAGACCTAGGCGTTGCGACGGATGGGCGACGTGACAGGCTGTTTCTAATCCTCTCAAAAAATGGCGACACAGCGAGCTGAGTGGGCCCGTGCAGCTATAGTGAGTTTACGTGGGTGACGTCACAGCTGCGACCTCTAGCATTATAACTTCTTTGGAGTAGGCACAACTAACTATCTACGTCGCCTTTAAGGGGTTATGTACACGATACGAGGGATTTTCTAGGGGTTTGACTTTCTTTCAATTTTTAAAGGTGTTATAGACTAATTAGAAGAATCATGACGGAATTTGTCGAGTTTTATGAAAAATTTGGTTTCTAGGGCGGCCATCTTGGATTTTTGGCCATGTTGCGGGGGAAATCGTTTTCCTCAGAAAATATTAAAATTCAAACCTCAAACTTTGCACACATATTAACAAACAAATTATCTGTGATCATAAGCTTAGATTTTTTTCCTATCATTAAAAACAACAAAAATATTGATATATCACGGAACCCGCAACGAAAAAAACGAGTACGGTGTGAAAAAATCAAGAATATTTCAAAAAGTAATCACTTTTTCAAAAAATCCCAGCCTATGATCACAGAACTTTTGATACAGCAACTGTGTGCCAAATTTCAAACATGTAGCTCTGATAGTTTAAAAAAAACGATTTCCCCTCGTTGTAGCATTCTCTGTGTGTGTGCAGGTTTCGGTCAACAACGTTGTCTGTTTTTTTCTGAACTCCAGTAAATATGATTTCTTGGGTTCACGTCTCCGTTCAGATAGAAGTGGACTTCATCGCCAAACCACTCCTTCCATGAATGAAAAGGTCTATTATTAGCACGGCACCTCAAAATCGATCGACACATTGTGATCCGTTCCCTGGTGTGTTCACATAAAATACCTTTGTGTACCTAAATGTGACATGCCTTCAAATGGAGATTGTGTCTCAAATTTTCTGCGAACAAAAAGAATGAAAGGTGGAGCTCAACACTCCGACGGCGACGACTACGACGTACTGATGTCTGTGACGTGGTCTCTTCAGAAGGCCGAACGGCGTCAATGTTCTCGGCCTTGCACACATTTACTGCTATGTCGTTCACCCGTCCTTTGTTGGACACAGACACACATGACAGACCCTTTTAAAGTCTACATACCGTCCAAGGATAGTTTTGTTTCAGGGAAAATTGCATCCCATCCTATTGTTGACATTCGACAATGAGATTTTTGTACATTATGTGAGATGTAATCTGCATGTTTCAACTCACTTACTTTCAAGTGTGAT